TGTGTTACATCAGGATGGTATGCAAATGCCAATCCTCTAATCCTATCAGGAATGCTTAGCGTGTTAATTTGACCACCTTTCACAGCTCATAAATCTACTTGGGGGCAAAGCTGAGCTGCCAGACACCATCAAGCAAAACTCTTTCTGAGGCTGGCAGTTTGAGTAAAGCAGCAGGGATCATGCATCAGTAAAGTCCAATAAAGAGCTTTGTATGTGGGGGACAGGAAAGCAGCTTCTCACATTTGGACACAATAGAACAAAACAGTGGGAAACGTGAATGTCTGATTATCTGGACTGGTGGTCTCCCCTATGCCCCGCCTGCTCACTGAGCCATGGATTCTCATTCATTCACAATTCTTTGCATGAAGATGGATCTATCTGGTTCCCCAACAACTGCCCACATAGACTGTCAGACTAGTTTATTTAATCGTCTGTAAATACAAATGGACTATATTCGCTTCCACTGGAATCTGCTAGCCTGTTTTTATTAAAATCTTTTAAACTTCAGCCAGGTCATTTTCTTTATTCATTCTGTGGTCAGAACAGAAACATTCTACTCTTTCTGGGACAGAACACTCCCAGGAAGAGTTCCCACTATTCCCTCTTGAGGAATATGTATGGTTGAAATTGCCAATAGAAATCAGTTTCAACCTCTGGATGATAGCCTCACCCAGAATCCATCTGTTCCTCCATTGTTCAGTTTTAAATTCAGCTGTTTAGAGATTCTAAGTAAAAACATTCTTTCCAGCATGTTTCAAGAGGGAAGGCACTGAGGTAGGCAGTTTGATTTTCAACTTCCTTCTCAGTTCAAGCCCCTTCTAAGGAAAGTTGGAGCAGTTTTCTGCCTTTAGGAGCATAAAGCTCCTCTGACCAAATCCGCAGGCTGATGGAGGTGGGGCGGAGTGCTGGCTCCAGGAGAGAAAGACAGTTGATCTGAGACTTAAGTACCAGAAGCCAGAGATCTACCCATCCTGGATCTGTTATGGTACAGGCAACAAATGGCATTCCCCCAGAGCCTGGAGGAAGGACTCCTGTCCCCTTAGGACTGATGAACTGCTCCCAAGAGCACAGCAGACTTTGGAGGGTTGAGGAACATGGGGAAAGGGAATCCTAGAGACTTATCAGCCTTGGCTTTGGGCAAGTTTAACTCTTGAGCTCTAGTTCCCTTATCTGAAAGAGGATCCACGTGGAATTATGTGGCTCATGGTGCAGGAATTTAATACATGGTAACTATGATTGATAGTTATTGCTGGGGGTTAATAAAACCCTTCATATCTTCTCTTTATACATGGATATATTTCAGTCTGTTTACCAATCTCTTTGTTCACCATGCTTATTGTATCCCACTCCATCCTGGATTTGTCTTTTCTGAAGAACAATCCTGAGTTCTTTCAGCAAAATCTGAAAATGTGTTTTTTGTCCTCTTTTTTGGACATAAATTTGAAATACCAATTTATCTATGTTAGAAAATATAAGGCTGCCGAAACCGGTTTGGCTCAGTGGATAGAGCGTCGGCCTGTGGACTGAAAGGTCCCAGGTTCGATTCCGGTCAAGGGCATGTACCTTGGTTGCGGGCACATCCCCAGTAGGAGATGTGCGGGAGGCAGCTGATTGGTGTTTCTCTCTCATTGATGTTTCTGACTCTCTATTTCTCTCCCTTTCTCTCTGTAAAAAATCAATATATTTTAAAAAAGAAAAGAAAATATAAGGCTAACATCCTTTACTTTTTTCTTTCTCAGCACTTAGAAGGTATTTATTTTTATTTTTAAATATACTTTATTGCCCTAACTGGTTTGGCTCAGTGGATAGAGCGTCGGCCTGCGGACTGAAAGGTCCCAGGTTCGATTCTGGTCAAGGGCATGTACCTTGTTGCGGGCACATCCCCAGTAGGAAGTGTGCAGGAGGCAGCTGATCGATGTTCTCTCTCATCGATGTTTCTAACTATTCCTCTCCTTCCTCTCGTAAAAAATCAATAAAATATATATTTTTAAAAAAAATACTTTATTGATTTTTTACAGAGAGGAAGGGAGGATAGAGAGTTAGAAACATCGATCAGCTGCCTCCTGCACACCCCCTACTGGGGATGTGCCCACAACCAGTGATGGCGAACCTTTTGAGCCCGGCGTGTCAGCATTTTGAAAAACCCTAACTTAACTCTGGTGCCGTGTCACATATAGAAATTTGTTAATAATTGCAACCATAGTAAAACAAAGATTTTTATTTTTGATATTTATTTTATATATGTAAATGCCATTTAACAAAGAAGAATCAACCAAAAAAAATAAGTTCGCATGTCACCTCTGACACGCGTGTCATAGGTTCGCCATCACTGCCTGCAACCAAGGTACATGCCCTTGACCGGAATCAAACCTGGGACCCTTGAGTCCACAGGCTGAAGCTCTATCCACTGAGCCAAACTGGTTAGGGCCTTAGAAGGTATTTAATGTCTTCCAGCTTTACTGCTGCCAGGGAAAGGGTGCTGTCAGTGTATTATTCCTTTGTTGTTAATGTCTTTCCTCTTTGGTTGCTTTTATTTTAAAAAAATATTTTTATTGATCTCAGGGAGGAAGGAAGAGGGAAAGAGAGAAACATCAATGATGAGAATCACTGATTGGCTGCTTCCTACACACCCCCACTGGGGATCAAGCCCGCAAGCTGGGCATGTGCCCTTGTTTGGAATCGAACCTGGGACCCTTCAGTCCACAGGCCAATGCTCTATCCACTGAGCCAAACCAGCCAGGGCTCTTTTTGGTTGCTTTGAGATTTTTCTTGTCTTTTGCAATTCTACTACATGTCTAGAAGCAGACTTGTTTTTATTCACCCTACTAGATATTTGTTATGCCTCGTTGAGGATTCACATTATGAGAAAAATCTTCAAATCTCTCAGATCATGTTTTTTTAAAATGTATTTTTATTGACTTCAGAGAGGAAGGAGAGAAAGATCAGTGATGAGAATAATTGGCTGCCTCCTGAACACCCCACATTGGGCACTGAGCCTGCAACCCTGGCATGCACTGACTAGTAATCAAACCATGATCTCCTGGTTCATAGGTCGACACTCAACCACTGAGCCATTCTGGCCAAGAACTATTCTGTTCTTTACATTGCACTTTCTCATTCTGTTCTCCAAGTCTCTTATGCCTTTTCTAGTTCCAATATCTTCCTGTTACAATCTGGGTCCTCTGGTTTATCTCCTAGTTCACCAATTCTTCAGATATGCCCAATCTGTGGTTTAATCGGCTCACTGAGTTCTTAATTTCATTAATTATATATTTTTCAGTCCTCAAAAGTTTTTTCAGTGTCATCTTTTCTAATGGTTTTTAAGCTTTTCCCCTCCCATTTTAAACATTCTTATCCCAGTTATTCTGTGTGTGTGTGTGTGCGCGCGCGCGCTAATCTTCCAAGATTGTGTCTGAAGACTTATGTTCAAAACAGATAGTTTTGGATTTTTAAAAAATGTTTTCGTTGAATTTAGAGAGGGAGAGGGAGAGATAGAAACACCCTGCACGTCCCCTATTGGGGATCAGGTCCGCAACCCAGGCATGTGCCCTGACTGGGAATTGAACAGACGGCCTCTTATGGGTCGACACTCAACCATTGAGACACACTGGCTGGGCTGTTTTGGATTTTTGAATGAGTCCATTTGAGTGGAGCTTGTTTTTTTCTTCACTGTAGGAATGCTACAGCTTGGGTTATGGGTATATTTTCCTTATCCAACCAGGCTGCCATGTCTCATCTGATGCTTTTATGAGTAATTTTCAAAGTGGGATCCTCAGGCACCTAGAGATTTATATACTTTACATTTTGAGCTTCTTAAGATTCCATTTATTAAAAACATATTTTTAAAAATAGGGCTTTTTTAAAAAACTGTTTTTATTGGTTTCAGAGAGGAAGGGAGAGGGAGAGATATAAAACATCAATAATGAGAGAGAGTAACTGATCGGCTGCCTCCTGCATGCCCCCTACTGGGGATCGAGCATGCAACCCGGGCATGTACCCTTGACCGGATCGAACCTAGAACCCTTCAGTCGGTAGGCCAACGTTCTATCCACTGAGCCAACCAGCCAGGGCAGGGCTGACATTTTTTATTAATTTTTAGAGAGAGGGAGAGAGAGGGAGCCAGAGGGGTGGGGGGGAGAGAGGGAGGGAGAGAGGGAGAGAGAGAGAGAGAAAGAGAGAGAGAGAGCGCGCGCGCGAGAGCGCGAGAGCGCATGAGAGAAAGAAACATTGATTTGTTGTTCTACTTATTTATGCATTCATTGGTTGCTTCTTATATGTGCCCTAACCAGGGACTGAATCTGCAACCTTGGTGTATCAGGACAACGCTCTAACCAACTGAGCTGACTGGCCAGGAAAAGATTTCACTTAGATGAAGTATCAGTGGCTAATCTTGCTGCTTTAAAAATTCTATGTTCTATGTCTCCATGACAAGTGAGAAAACCCAACCATTAGGCTTAGGGAACTTTATTTGCATGTTTTCTTTCTCCATCTCCCTGCAAATAAGTGGATCACATCATACATGGGAATGCATGCTTAGGAACTAGCCAGCAAACACTTTAATACTGTCCTAACTGAAGCAGGAAGATCAAACTGCTGAAATATATTTAAAGCCGTGATTTATGGGTTGTGCCATTATTCTCTTACTATGAAAGCAGAGAATTGAGCACACACACCTGGACATTCAGCGTACTGGAGTCTATAATACATTTATTATGCTTTCTTTCAAGAGTAATAAATACCACTAACTTTAAGATTTGAAAACTTATAAAGAATTTTTTATATAATATAGAGAACAAAAATATACTCCTCTTTATAAGAAGAAAGATTTCCCAGGAATGATCTTTAAGGTTTGCCAAAAGTAGTGTTGGGTAGACTAATTGCCTAAAAGCATATTACAGCTACTTTCAATCTTAAAATAGCTGAGAAGATATGGTCACAACCTTCAATATTTCAATCTTTAAACTGCATTCTTTATCACTATTAGACTCAGAAATACAATGTTTTCCTGCAATTGTGGTTTATTGTAATCTTAATCCATTTTCTCAAATTCCATTCAACACACTTATACTACTCCAGTAATTACCATGCTACCTGAAAAAACAAGTGAACAGTTTATTAAGAATTAAATGAGGGTATGGAATGTGATACAGTACAAGTAAGACACTCTAGATGAATATAACAGTACTACTCACACAAAAAGTTAAATCTCACTTCAAAAAAATTCACAAAACAAAGAAAAAGCAATTCCATCATTATAAAGTAAGGTATTTCATGCAAAAACTCCAAAAAAAAAAAAAAATTCCCCAAATCCCTCCAACCCCCTCTTCAAGCTCCCAACAAACAAAAAGCTATCTGAAAATATCACCATGCTAACATATTAACCACAATATAATCATTTATAGAAAAACTTGAACACACTAATTAAGCAATGGATTAGATGAAACAACACAGGCTGCAATATTGTAAACTCATAGACCACGATAATTTTACATGATAAGCAATTCCAGATTCACTCATAGGGTGAGGATTATGGGCTAAATGATGAGAGATAAGGTATGTAAATATAAACTCCATCAATTCATCTCATTATCTTAATTATAAAACATGGAAGCTTCCAGAATCTGAAAAATTATATAAAATTTGGCATACTTCATTTGAGTTCCAAGAAATGACTTTAGGATTATGTTTGCAATTATTAGAAAGCTGTATTAAAGGTCAGGATTGACCTCAAATAATAATCACAACTTACATGGCATTTTATGGGATAGCATTCTCTCTACAGCTGCCAAACAACTTACATCACAGAAACTCCAGATATGCATTTACTCTGATTAACTCTTAATCAAGGCAAAAAACCCACCATGATTTTCTAGCAGTTTATGTACAAGTTACTGTAAAGGACCAATTAGTTAGAGACTGAATGAAATGTAAAACAAAGGTAAATTTGTATAGAGTGAATGGGAACATCCTCATTTACAAAGACTTAAGTGGGTAAAACTCTTGCCTTGACTTATGAGGACGCTAGAGTCAACAAAGACTGCCAAGCCGTAACTTGTGTCTCTGTACCAAGATGCCTTAGCATTTTTCATGGAAAAGATAGTTAATATTAGAAACTAGGAATGGTATTTTATGGGATAGCGTATCTCCAACTGGATGTAATGTCATGATGAGGTGGCCCAGAGCAGAAGCACCCTTCTCACTGCACCTGCCCATTCAGGAGGCGAGGAGAGAACTGGGACACCTACACTTCATGTTCTGGGTGGAGCTTACCTATCGTGTATAGACTGGCTGTAAGTATAAGGTAAGGCCAAGGAAAAAGAACAGGAAAAAAATAGGACAAAAAACCACCTACTCCCATTTGCAATTTTTTTCTGCTTACATTTACAGTGATTAGAACATATTGGAAAATTATTCAAGATTATCCTTCCCACCTCTGAAATTTAACTTCCTATTTATATTCCATGAAAAGAACAACATAATTGTTCAGTGGCAGGACATAACCTTTCTAAAAAAATAAAAGCACTTGCTCTAATTTTCACAGAACGATATGAAAACTTTTTCCAACGTGAAACCTAGAGTTTGATGCCAGTAAAGAAGCATCTTTAATATTCAGGACTACCATAGTTAGAGCTCTTTGGAATGTATCTTATACATATAAAGGTAGCACAAATTAAATCCCCAGAGAGTTCATGAAATAGGCTCTTAAATGGGAAAGATTTCTAATGAGAGATAAATGCTTCCATCAGCAAATTAAATGTGATAAATAAATCTTTCCCAACTGACAAAGTCTCTGCTGACAACTCAACACAGCCTCTGAAATCAAATGTAAAGATCAATCATGATGATGCAGGATGAAGTGCAGATGAGCGGTACACATGAAAAAAATCTGTAACCACTGCAATTCTGAAACGGTAGATTTATATTACAAAGCAATGTAAATAAATATCGGGCTAGTACAAAAGCTCTTATTTACAGTTTTACAAATGAAACTGTATTCAGTGTAAATGCTGTGTTTTAAAGAACACAGTACTGGATTAGTAAAATGAGTTCTGTTGAGGGATTACAGTTTCTGTTAGAATCAATGCATAACGTATAAAAGATTCAAGTTAACTGTTTATAATTTAGTACAGACAAACCCAGTTTTAACCTGGAATGGCATCTGTTAAAGTGCTGAAAAACAGGAAATATTTAGAAAACACTGTACATTATTAAAGCTTTATCAAGTCAGAATGTTAAAACTTCTTTCACATTTTTTATCCTTTTGCCACAGGCTTGTCGAACAATGATTTTTCTCAGCAAAGGAGTAAAAATTAAGAGGCCACCAGCTGTTTTGATGATTTTAGGTTCAGTGGAATTAGTTTCCTAAAATAATTATCCATCAACCATACCTTCAGGCCTCACAATCTGGTAAGTAATTAAATATTCAGGATAAGCCTAAAAGAGAAAGATTAATTCAAATATTGGTAAACAAAAATATTTTTTTAGAAGAGACTTACTCTAAGCATTCCTAAGCTTCAGGGAAGAAGTTCTAAAACTTAGTGCTGTGGATCAGATTCGTGTGAGAGCATTTTCTCAAAACACCTCTACCTTGATTCCTGTCCCTTAGATTCTTCAGATCTGGAAGGAGGACTAAGTATGTGTTTGTCTGTTTTTAATGACCTAGATTCATGGTCGGCAAACTGCGGCTCGCGAGCCACATGCGGCTCTTTGGCCCCTTGAATGTGGCTCTTCCTAAGCCTTAGGAGTACCCTAATTAAGTTAGTAACAGTGTACCTACCTATGTAGTTTAAGTTTAAAAAAATTGGCTCTCAAAAGAAATTTCAATCGTTGTACTGTTATTTGGCTCTGCTGACTAATGAGTTTGCCGACCACTGACCTAGATGGTTCTAATACATATCTCCAACTCAGAACACAATCTAGAGATGCTTTGACCAGATGTGTCACTAAGAGCAAGAGGGAATTACACATTTCTTTGCTATAGGCAGGTTAACTATTAAATATTGAATTCTACTTAACTGTATTTTAGAAAAGCTGGAAAAAAAATTCCAGTATAACTGGCAAAATCTGAATAAGGTATTTTCCTGATTTTGATAATTTTAAGAGAATCTCCTTGTTTTTAGGAAATACACTTATAGTACAGATTTAAGGGTAAAAAAACATGCCTATGTTCCTAAGGGTAAAGGAACTGTCCTCTCAAGTAGGTCAGAAAAAAAAAAAAGCATAAACACCTACTCAGGAGGGCGAGACTGATAAAGGAGAGAGAATGTTAAAATGTTAACATCTGGGCCCTGGCCGGTGTGGCTCAGATGGTTGGGCGTCGTCCCGGAGGTTGCCGGTTTGATTCCCAATCAGGGCACATGCCCAGGTTGTGGGCTCAATCCCTGGTGGAGGGTGTGCTGGAGGCAGCTGATGATGTGTCGCTCTCATATAGATATTTCTCCCGCTCCCTTCCCCTCTCTCTAAAAATCAATTCAAAAAATCTTAAAATAATGAACATTTGAAAAATCTGGGTAAAGGGAATTCTTTACTATTTCTCTAACTTTTCTGTAAGTCTGAAATTATTCCCCCCCCAAAAAAAATTAAAAAGAAACCCATTTCTCAAGACAATATACCTTGTTAATTTAAGAGATTAGTAAGAAGAGATTAAAGTATGGCTCTAAAGTATTTTTGAAGATAACAAATAAAAATGAGTTACCTGTTCTCCTCTGTAAATAACATATTCAGCTAATGCTAGGCCATTTACACTGGGTCGACCAGTGACTGAGTGATGTCCTGGAGGAGAATGTGCCATTTTCATTGCACTGAACTGCAGGAACGATTTCCCCAAGGTTACCCGGCAAAAGAGCAGCTGCCTATAGCATGAAAAGGAAAAGATCTTACTGAATACAAAGTAGCATATGACAATTTTATTTGTGTACACTTCTAAGCTTTTTAATACATTTATACATAAACATTTATGATTGTTTTTATCATTTCACTCTAAATGAACTTTATAAGAATGTCTTCTACTATTCTCATTAATGAAAGAATTTTTCACTTTAATTATAAAACCTGAAAATGTAATAACCGTATAGGTATCCAGACTCAGCCATCCTGCTTCAGCAAAAGCACAAATCATAACCCAAGTGGGAAGGAGGAGCTTTAAGGGACTTCCATGAAGTGGTTTGCAAAGAACGTTTTTCCAGTTAAGTCCAGTGGATTCTACCTTCAAAATATATTTACAATCTATTCTCTTCTCTTAAATGTTCACCTGGACTATAACAATGGCCTCTGATTTAGTCTTCCTGTTTCTACTCTAATTAATGTCTAAACTATTTTCCATTCAAGCAACCAGTGATTTAGGAAAAAACAACAAACAAAAACCAAAAAACATAAATCAGATCACATCACTTTTCTGCTTAAACCCTTTTAGAGGCTGCTCACTGTACTTAGAAGAAATCCCCAAATTCCTTACAATGGTACCAAATTCTCTAATCTTAATGTGTTCTTCATGCCCCAGATACATTTTCTTCTTTCACATAGTCAAACTTTCTTCCCCCACGGCCATGATACATAATACGCTGTTTCCTCTACCAGCCATTCTAACACTCTTCAAATGGCTAACATTCATTTTGCAGGTTTCAGGTGAAATGTTACTTCCTCAACTAGGTCTTCTCTACCAGAAGTTTAAGTAGGTTACCCTCCCACTCCCCTCTGGCATATGATTGGCCTTCTTTAATTCCAAAGAACTATCTTCGGTTCCTGATTTTGGTGGACCAGTTGATGATTCTATTCTCCAAAGAGTTACAATCTATACTTGTTATTTAGCCTCCAGATAATAAAAGTAAAAATAGCAATGTTCAATTTATAAAATATCAAGAAATTATAAGTCTTCTAACCAGTCCAATTTATGATCTAAAATAGAAATGGGTGGGAAGTCATATCCAGAAGGGCTGACTTCAGACACCTACACAAAGTCTAAATTCAGGGGGGAAACAACAAGAACTAAACAAAAACAGACCTCTCTCTAGGACTATAGTTCTTCACCTTGGCAACCTCTCAAAATCAGCTGGGAAGCCTTTAAAAATCCCAATGCCCAGATCATACCCCAGTCCAATTAAATGACTCTCTGAAGGTGGGACACAGACATTCATTTTTAAAGCTTCCTGGGTGATTCCAATGTGCTGCTAAGACCGAGAACTACTGCTCTAGGTTGTTGTTTTTTCTTCTAGATCTGTAATCAGAAGCATCAGGAAACTTGGTAGAATTCAAGTTCTAGGACCCCACCCCAGAACTATTAAATCAGCAACTCAAAAGATAGGGCCTGTGAATCGGCATTTTCATTAACCTTCTAGGTAATTCTGAAACTTGCTAATGTTTGATAACTACTGCTCTAGATCTTTATAAGCAGTGCCCTAACTGTAGAATATATCTCAATGTTTGATCTTATTTGATTTTTCAAATGGCAAAAGATAATTTATTTATCAGGAGTTTATCAATTAGAGCCAAGTTATTTGAATGCTTTTAACAACCGAGTTAGACCAGGATAACTACTTTGTACTCCCCCCCCTTTTTTCTTATTTACACTTCATGAATTTGCATGCCACCCTTGCACAGGGGCCATGCTAGTCTTCTCTAAATCCAATTTCAGTATGTGTGCTGCTGAAGCGAGCACACAAGTAGTTATTTGATAATAATGTGCTTTCTACAGGATTGATGTGCTTTATTATAACTTTTCAAGTAGTAATATTATAAATTGAAGATTATGAGCATATCATAATGGAAGAGAGACTTCTTCATGCATTGCCATGAAATAATTAGGTTTGGCAAGTAGTACCATTTTAGCATGTGAATACTAGAATTTTTAGAGTTCACAGCCTCACAATAAAATCTTTCATGCCCAATGATATGTTCTTCTCCATATTCTTTAAAACACCAAATGTAATTTAATGATTAAATGAGTTAAACAGATCAAGTGCTCAGAACTGTGCTTGGCCCATAAAGTTCACCTAGCCTTGCACCCCAAAATTTTCAATATGGAACCAGTTCTTATCTGATTCTTATAAAAATAAATGAGAACAAGTGATCTCTTACCTGTGGCAAATGTAACAAGATCTGTCTTTGTGAACTGGACACCCAGTACCTCCTCCAATTCCATACACATACTGATTGCTTTTGGAAGAGTTTTCAGCAAAATAAATCCCAGCTCCGAACATGCCACCTATATAGGCATGCCTTTCATCGAAGCCTTTATGGATAATTGCATTCACAAAGGGAGACCCTAAAACACACATAGATGAATAACAATTTTGTCTTAAAAGAAAAAGAACAAAAACTAAAGCTTCTTAGAAGTTAAACTCTTAAATATACATACATCACTACAATAAAGCAAAATCATAAAACAAGGACAAGTTAACTGTCAGCTGATTCACTACTTTAGAATAATTGTTTTAGAGGAATTACACAAGTCAACCAATGTTCTAATAGGGTGGTAGTAGTTGAGCTGGTAAAATAAAGACACATACATATTCAACTAGAATAACAAACAGATCACTTGAAATACAAATGCTAATCAAATTCCAAACCCTAAATCTATAAAATCAGAACCAATCCTCCTATATAATAAAAGGCTAATATGCAAATTGTCCCCTTGACCAGGAGTTCTACCAGAAGTTAGACCAGGGGGCGGGGTCGACCCACCAACTGCCCACGGCCCCTCCCCCACCTGGCCCCGATCAGGGCAGGCTGGCTGGACCCCACCCGTGCACAAATTCGTGCACCAGGCCTCTAGTAATCTTATAATTCACCTCATATAGCAAGGATGAGTTCATTAGGTCTCAGAATGACACCCATGTCTATGTACATTTTTTAGATATCAAAAGTAACCAAAGTGATCTTTTCAATGTTCATTCTCTTCTTTATACTTTGTTTTTCCTATCTTTCCAGTGCTCTGCCTTTCATCACCTGCTTTAACAGATTCTATCTGCAAAAGAGGTGTGCCTTCATTCCCTGCACAGTGACTTCTTTCTCCTTCTTCCTTGCACGTGTGCAAAGACAGGGATCTTAGCCAAAGGGGAGGAACTGAGCACGGGAACCGGGCCAGGGAGTGGGGTCAGGATGGGAGCTGGGAAAAGCCAATATAAAATAGCTAACTGATTCATCAACATCAGTGTCCCTGTTCATTAAGAAACAGGAAAATAAAATGAATTCCACTTTACAGAAATACTGAAGAACAGAATCACTTATTTGAAATAGGAATAACAAACCATTTAAGTCAATACATAAATATTTTTGTAAGTCAATGCTAGAATAGGATGCATACATTCTTTTGAGGTAATTTTCAGTTCTTACTTTAATTTTAATTCAATCAACTAGTTAAAAATAAAACAATTTCTCAGAGTGTCATAATAAGCAAAATATTATACAAAGAAAAAAAGGCCCTAGCCGGTTTGGCTCAGTGTATAGAGCATCGGCCTGCAGACTCAAGGGTCCTGGGTTTGATTCCAGTCAAAGACACATGCCCAGGTTGGGAGCTCGGTCCCCAATAGAGGGCATGCAGGAGGCAGCCAATCAATGATTCCCTCTCATCATTGATGTTTCTATATCTCTCTTCCTCTCCCTTCCTCTCTGAAATCAATAAAAATATATTTTAAAAAAAGAAACTAGGACTTTAAAAAAAAAGGAGGAAAATATGAATAGTGAACATTCCCATTTCTGTATTTTTTCCATTATGGCAATCTTATTTATAGAAGCTATCCATTGGGAAATATACAAATTCAAGAGGTTGAAAATATGAATATAGCCCAGCCAGCGTGACTCAGTGGTTGAGTGTTAACCTATGAACTAGGAGGTCCTGGTTTGATTCCCAGTCAAGCTCAATCCCCAGTGGGGGCTGTGCAGGAGGCAGGTAATCAATAATTCTCTCTCATCATTGATGTTTCTATCTCTCTTCCCTCCTCTCTGGTATCAATAAAAAACAAACACAAAACAACGAAAAAAAAAAACCCGAATATATAAATATAAAATTTACAGAAATAATTTTAAAAAATGACAAAAGGGCCCTAACCGGTTTGGCTCAGTGGATAGAGCATCAACCTGCGGACTGAAGGGTCCCAGGTTCGATACCGGTCAAGGGCATGTGCCTTGGTTGTGGGCACATCCCCAGTAGGGGGTGTGCAGGAGGCAGCTGATCGATGTTTCTCTCTCATTGATGTTTCTAACTCTCTATCCCTCTCCCTCCCTCTCTGTAAAAAAATCAATAAAATATATAAAAAAAATAAAATAAAATAAAAAAATGACAAAAGGACTATATAGATTCATTATTATTTCATACTTGACAAAAAGCTATTCTAATGTGGAGAATGGTGGTAAGGTAGGAGGAGAGCAATCTTACCATGAAATAGCATTCTTTCATTTGCATGGTTGTGGTTTTCTTCGGAAACTTCTTTTCTCCTGTGAGTATACCTTTCCCATAGTTTCTTGTTACAAACTTTCTGAATCTATAAAAAAGGAACCAGAAAAATAACACCTTTAGCTCATAATAATTACTTACCTTCTTGCTTATCTTAACCAGAAATGGGCGAGCCACATAGCTGGAAAAGGCAAAACTTTTCTTTAAAATGTAAACTATGTTATTTTAATCAACTAAAGATGGAAATATAGCTACATTTTGGAAACTGAAAACTTCAAAGGGAAAAAAGCTATACAGGCCATATGTAAAGGTCAATAATACCATTAATTGATTAAAATACTTCCATTCTCATTAATTTACAATTATTACTAAATATTTCCAACTCAGATATGTTTTCTGTATTTAAGTATTAAAAAGAGAATATGTTTTTCCCTTGTTTTATCTGGTTCAAAGTACTATCTTTATCTGTTTTTAATTAAAATATTTGAAATAGCCCACACCAATAAACATTCTTAAAATATACATACACATATCCCCTATTACTCCCTCTATCTTTCCCTATCCCTCCAATTCCTAAAATTTTTGTCTGGAGAAGAGTTCAAAATGGATGCTAGTCTCATCTAGAGTATTTACAACGTCAAATTTCATAATCCTCGAGCTGTTTCTTAGCTGTGTTTAAAGGTGCTATAGCCCCCTGCTGGTCCTAGAGCACACCTGGGAGCTGGTTTTAATTCTGACTCAAAATAAGCCAATATACTGCCACAGACAAAATTGAGGAATACAACAGGCACAAGGGGATCTCATTTAGGTAAAAAAAAGTAACAAAATTAAAAGTCTTACCATTGAAAAAAAATTTTTCATTAAATATTGCATTAAAATATATTATAGAGGAAAAAACAGCTTTCTCAAATTCAACTACTGGCATACCTCAGAGATATGGTGGATTCAATTCCAGACCATCACAATAAAGCAAGTATCACAAAAAAGAGAGTTGTTATATTTTTGTTGGTGGAGGGTCTGGCCTTCAACTTGCAAAATCTGTGAAGCTCAATAAAGTGAAGTGCCAATAAAGCGAGGTGTGCCCGTATTTTGGAAATCAAACATATGTTCTCTCTCCTGCCCTCACCCTTAACAACTGCTTGTTACTGTTTGCAGACAAAGTAGACTTGACTGAAAATTTGCTTGTAATAGGCATAATTATTTGTTTTATTTAAAATTATTATATATGTCCATGAGTGGAAATATCAAGATGTCATTCTTATGTCATCTTATATAATAAAAGCCTAATATGCTAAGTGTCCAACCGTCTGTTTGACTGTTCGACCAGTCACTATGTTGTGCACTAACCACCAGGGGGCAGACGTTCTGACCAGTAGGTTAGCTTGCTGCTGGGGTCCGGCCGATCAGGACGGACAAGCCCTGGAGCCCTCCTGCAGTCTCTCCGACTGGCCTGCACCCTCTCGCAATCCGGGACCCCTTGGGGGATGTCAGAGAGCTGGTTTCAGCCTGATCCCTGCAGGCCAGGCTGAGGGACCCCACTAGTGCACAAATCCATGCACCGGGCCTCTAGTACTATGATAAAAACTAACAAAAAACATTAGTCCCAACCCTGGCCAGGCCTGGGTTTGATTCCAGGCAAGGGCATGTGCCATGCCTTGGTTGCAGGCAACCAATCGATGTGCCTCTCTCACATTGATGTTTCTGGTTCTCTCTGTCTCTCCCCCCCTCTTCCACTCTCTCTAAAAATTCATGGGGAAAAAATATCCTCAGGTGAGGATAAAAAAAAAAAAAAAAGAAAAGAAAAAAAAAGAAAAGGAACACACTGAAGTATGATCCTTTACCTGAATAATGCGTTTGTTTTAAATCATCTAATTTCTAATAGTATGAGCATAGCAACCTCAATGTATAGTTTTAGTATTCACTAACTCTAAAATATGGCATCTAATATTATACTCATAATAGTATATTTGTGAAACAGTAGTATATACAACTGAAAGATGATGCTCACTCTTGAGTTTAAAATCTAGATATTTGCCACATTTTAATTCTAGCCATCTTATATTTATAATGATTAGGAATACTAGTATATCAATGTAAAAAAGAATATACCAATGTAATTATTACAAAATCATTATGCATCTCAAGTAGAATGTACACTTTTTGCTTGCTATAGTTAAAGAAAAACAGCAAAGTTGGAAAAGGTCCTGAGAAGAGTCACTGGTATCAACAAGGAGACAGAACTCTCATTAGAATGACTAAAAAACATTTTTGAAAGACTATTTTTGGAAAAGATGAAGGTATTGAGGGAATACTATTAAAATTATGAAAAAGTGATAGGTATGTTGACTCACAGAAACCTGGAGTAGTCAGTTAGGACAAATAAAAAAAAGCATGATATAACTATAAAGATGAAGTCCTTTTAGGAGCCACAAAAAAATCCAACTTTGTTACCACAGAGCACCTTAATAATTTATATAAAGTCCTAACTCTACAGGACTTATCATTACCCCAAGGTAAAGCATAACTGCTAAACTTGAATATTTCAACAAGCACTGAATTACTGATCATAAAAACAGTATACAGGGTTTTCAGAATCTTAAGCTTTCCAAGGGTATATTCTTTCCCAAAATATCCCCTGTGCCATGTCACAGACTTATAGGGCTGGATAGATCATTATGTTCTTATGAAAGTTAATTATGGTTTTAGGCTTTGAAAACTATGGTCTCAGCAAACTATTTTTACTAACTTATTACCTTGAGAATATTGTATCTGTTGAAGATTCCACCTGCATGACCTCCATCTCTGTGCTCTCGGACTGTACTTTGCATCTGATGGAAAAACATTTCAAATATTTAGCTATTATGTTTTTTCTGATTTGGAAAACATGGTTCTTGACTTATATGATTCTATTTTTGAATATAAAATGGATTTTTAGTATTTTTTGTGGTTTAAGAAATATGAGTTCTATAAGTTCACAAGTACTATTTTCTAGTGATAGCTGTTAGCTAGTACAAACAATCTGAAAACATATTTATAGGTGAAAACTATATAATTCAAACTAAAGGAAGAAAAAACAGCTAGAAGCACAGGGAGCTACACATACAAAGCTAACTAACCACTTGACATACCAAAATACAAAGATTTATTTGTTTCCATTTGTTTTGCCCTAATAAAGCACAATTTGAAAGAGTTGGAGTTTCTTGGGTTTTAGAACTAAGTCTCACTCAATTTTGTATCTTTGTAGTCAACTCACACATATAAAGGGTACAAGTTCTTCAAAGTGTAAAGCACTATTAAAAGGTGTTAGTGGATCCATGAATTTTGTAGAAAGAAAGCTGGAAGAAAAATTTTCTGGGTGTGTCCTCCACTGTTCTGGGTCCTGAGATACTGGGCTTTGCAATTGCCTTCACGAAGGGAGGTGACATTAGCATCTTCTTTCAAATGACAGCAACCTCTTCTCGAATGGAATTCTGTGTTAGCATTAACTATAGTGCTGAACTGGAATTAAATTACTGGAATTAAGGTTTACTGAGGGAGTCTATCTTAAATGCAGATTTTGAAAGTTTTCCAGGTAGGAGTTAGGGATAATTAAAATACTCTACGACATTTTCAAGTATATCTGGAAATCTCCAGGAAACTTAGTTATTGAACCAACATTTAAGATATATGAACATACCTCTTCCTCCACAGACTGAAACTCTTTATCATCGGGAGACAGATCGATAAGAATTGTTCCACTTCCAGAAGTGTTCAGAGTTAAGTATGGATTAAGACCTATTGAATGAAATTTGAAGGCAAAAATTCATTTGTTAAAAAAACACACAAAAACAACCAACCAACCAAACAAAAAACATCAACCAAAAATAACCTGATTTATCCGATGCTTACTACCAATTTTAAAAGATGTTTTAGATTTCACCGTTTTCCCCACTAATGTCCTTTTTTGTATTCTAGTATCCAAAACAGAACATCACACTGCATTTAAACTACTAATTTGACCTGGCAAGTCATAAGGGTTTTGTGGGAATAGTTCAGAAAATCTTTCTATTCTTTATCTCCTAGTCTTAATGAGTATGTCTTCTTCAAATTATCTCCTTTATTAAATGTGCAACCCTTCCAGCATTTAATCCCTTTATTTTTTGAAACTATGAGGAAGAATTATGACAGAAACTTGCATAACCTCAAGTAATTTTAAGTCATCCTAGAATAAGAACTCCATAAAGTTTACTAACTACTGACACTTATTCTTACCCATATTACCAGTAGATTCTTTAATTCAATGCAATGAACTTGTCTTATTTCCTGAATATCAATGGTCAAGATAACCACATATATTTTTCTAACTTTATTCTCATAAAACTTTTTAAATGGAATCTTAAACAGAATTTTCCCATTTCTTTGGTATATTTATAACAATTCTCCTTTAATATCTACAACATGATCTCCAAAGTTCTGCTGTTTTTCCAGGTATGGATCGTCCTTTACTGCTGGGTCAATGCATGGTGGGCGGTTTGCCTCTGGAGGTTAAGAGCACTATTTGAATTTAGAGTTCTGGTCTGAATAACTGGGTTACCACCAACATGCTGCACGCTTATGAAGATTTATAGGCATGGCTGAATTACAAGGTTTCTAAGAAGTACAGAGACTATGCAGAGGTGAATAGGTTACAGCAGAAACACTTAATGAAGACTGACATATGCTTGAATAAGGCATCTTTGGACCTCCCTGAAGAAAGACGTTTATCAGTGTTGAAATATCAGGACAGGGAATCTATTAATTTGCTGCACTAAATAATAGCTAATAAGGCTTTTACGTCAGGACCAGAGGTGGCATGGAGGTACATACAGTGGGGCCTTGACTTACGAGTGTCCCGACTAACGAGTTTTTTGAGATACGAGCCGTCTCTCGGCCGATTTTTTGTTTTGAGTTGCGAGCTAAAATTCAGGTTACGAGCCAGCTTCAGATACCCCACTGCTAGTTGGCGCAGCGAACGTCACAGTGAACGCCACAACATCAGCCCAGCATCACGTGTCTCACTCGTTCACTTTTTGATTTGACATACGAGTAATTTGAGTTACGAGCTCTGTCACGGAATGAATTAAACTCGTAAGTCAAAGCCCCACTGTATACTTGCCACTTGGAGGCAGTATCTGTTTCCATCATGGTTTCCTGAGCCTTTCAACAGTCTTAATAACTGTGTGCCACATACTATGATGTACTTAATGTACAAACACTGCCTGCTTTCCTTTTTAACCCACCTCTTTCCATCACACTTGCTACCTTACCAGATGGTTTTATTGTAATAGAGTCAGGATGGCAGTCCACAACTGAGGGTTCTAGTTTCTCTTCATTTTTGATACTATTTATATTTATACTAACATTCCAGGGAGCCATGGGTTTTCCCTCCTCTTTATCTTATAAAATTTTTGTCATCTATACTGTAAATATTCAAGACCATCTCTAAACATTTTGCCCTACACCCTACCAGATAAGTAGGATGCATTTACCTTTAACCGATCCTATTCCAGACTTCTAGTATACAGCATTCCTTAGCTTGCGTTACCTAATTTTTAGAGGCACTCCTTTACCTTCTTCAAGAGCTAGATCCTCTTCTGGCAGGTATACATTCTTTCCGGAAAATTTTCATTTTTGCTAACGGAGGATTATCTTCAACCCTAGTTGTACAGCCAGGACTTCAATTTCAGGATGCTTCTGACCCCAGGGTAAATAATTTCCTCAATTTAACAATGAACTTAAAATGTGATTTCTGAAACTTAAATTAATTCACCTTTTTATACTCAGGACCTGGTACATGGGAAGGGTTAACATCTGTTGACCGAATGCAATTTGCATATTCCTTAAGCATTAACATCCAGGAGAAATAAAAATATTCAACTTTGTTTTGTTAAATTTCCTCAGTTGCAACATTGTTTCCCTGTATTTTCACTGGAAGTGTTTAGAATTTAGCTATTTACTACAAAAGAGAAATTTACAAACTCTTTTATGGGCAGTCCTGAACACCTAATCATTGCCTATTACTATAAGATACGAGATACCCAAGTTTCAGATCTTTCAGAATCAAAACTTTGGAGCTAGGATAACTTCAGAAATAACTAAATAGAAATAACAGCGCTAAAGCAATCCCTAAATTTCTGAATGGCCCAGAAGTTTTCTTAGGTTCACACAGTAAATAGCAGCAGCTCAGGAAGCTTAGTAGTAGCAGAGTTAAGACTTGATTCCAGGTTTCCCGGAGCTCTTCCTATTAAATGGACTCTTAAGATTTTTAAATTATCAATTAGTAAGTTGAGGACTGCCTTTATGGAAGCTGTTAAACTGACAATAGCAATGATTTAAAATGAAATACCTTGTTGTCCAGAGATAAGTCTCTCAACTCCTTTAATTAATTTGTGTCTATGTCCATAAGCATTGATTCCAATCTCTTTCAGCTCCTTGTGCCCCATCTCAACCAATACATCCAAAGTGATCTTACAAAAGAGAATGAATTGTTTAGAAGACTTACTCATTTGGTGAACATTCATATATTGGTGATCTCACAATGTACTAGATTCATACATTTACTTCAAATTAATTTTTGAACAGCTTAGGAATGAAAATAAATCAGCTGTTAAACAAAATAAAAAGCTGCAGCTAATTTTAGTTAACTAGCTAATTTAATTATTTAAAGTTGAGTCATGAACTACCAAAAATATCACTATCATTTAGCATAAGAACCTAAGAACAAAGCAGCAAAACAAAAAATGTATTTTCAAATTCATATTTAGGTACACTATTATATCTTTCCACCATCCCTCATGTATACAAAGCTTTTAATTGTTCCTCCAGGCTCCAGATAGTGCTTCTGCATCACTGTTCAAACTAATCCTTTATCTCAATTATCTTATTCCCACTTTGTGAAACTAAAGACGCTTTAAAAAATCCTCTTCTATTTATACTATGTTTTCTCTGGAATCCAGCTCACAGTAATCTTTTCTTTCTTTGCATTTCTAAAATAAATGCCCAAAACTTAACTCTTCATATGTTCTTGTTATAGCTCTATAACTAGATCAGAAGTTCCTTAGGGTATGAATAAAAAAAATCTGTAATTATATTCTGACAGAGTACTGTAAATTGGGACTATTCTAGAAAAGACCGGATATATATATGGCATATCTATAGGGTATCTAAAAAAAAAAAGTATACACACAGTTTGAATAATTATAAAGGCAGTGTTTATTGAAATGCATTTCACTTTTTAAATTGAGCTATCAGCTGTTAAAGTGTGTACACACTTTTTTGGGACACCCTGTATATAGAGGCTAGTGAAGTGTCAGGCTTACAGTGGGTAGTTACTGATAAAACAGAACTAAACAAACAGGGCTCAAGGGTAACTTATTTTTGGTAGAATAAGCTAAACTTTGCATTCAAAAAAGTTATTTTACTATTACTACACGAGAGTTAATTTTATGTGCTAATAAACTGAACAGAAATTCCAAGATCAAGCCAAATTAGAAGAGTGATTTCCAGTTTCTTAAAAAAAAAAAATATATCCTCCCTACACTCCAAACAAGTGGAGCATTTCAAGTATGCCCTACTTTTTCCTTGAGGTTCCATAAAACACCAAAACAAGCAAAAACAGTTAACCAACTCACCTGTTCTCGCTCAAATATATCCATTAGGTGTTCAAGCCCAAGAATTCTTACAAATTGAGTTATGCTAAAATCTACCCCTGGAACTGAAAAATAAAAAATCCAAAACAAAAAAAAATTCACACATCAGAATAATAGATATCAACATTATGACAAAATTTTTGTAATATTACTATATACATAAAGAAAGTAAAAATAAAGCAAAATGTGAATAGCCCACTAGGGATAAGAAACAATTAACCAACAGGACACTCTCAGGTTAAAACAAATCTTTTAATTAAAATAATTTTATTTTTAACTATCTTTAAAATAACTTTCCATAGAGCTGAAACTACTGCTATATGTAAATTTTATCTCCATTAAAGAAGCTTCCCTGTCTTTGAGCATGTAAGCTACTTCACAAAAAAATTTTCACAATGTCACATAGGTTGAGATAAATTTTGACAGGTAAAAGGTTAAAGAGAACAGCTTTTAGAGACTGCAGATATGTGTGTGTGTCTTTTTATCTTTTTAAAATTGGGTATTTTGACATGGAATAAAAAGTATTCCATAAATTTGTATACAAGAGGTAAATTAAGGCACAGCTACTCTACCAAAAGGACTTCTAAACTTTTTAGAAAGAATATTTACATCTAAAGAGTAGGTTAACAGAGAGTGAACCAAGATGGCGGCATAGGTAAACACCGGAGACTGCTGCCGCAAACAACCACTTCAAAAATACAACTAAAAGACGGAACAGACATCACCCAGAACCACAGGAAAGCTGGCTGAGGAGAGACTCTTCAACTAGAAGGAAAGAGAACAGCAAACTGAGGCTCAGAGGCGGCGCAGTGTGGAAAATACAAAGGTACCGAGGTGCGCGCGCAAAGCGGGCTGGTGGCTGAGGGCGCGGTTGTCGTTTTCGGTTGGGAGGGAGTCTCAGACTCTGGGCTCCAGATCCGGGCGAGTCTCTAGGGACTCAGACTCAGACGGGAAAAGCGGGATTGTCCGGCATCAGTTGGAATCTGAGGGCAGCTTTCTCTCCGAGGTTTGCAGCCGCTGCCAGGGTTCTGAGAAGCAGAGCCTCTGGGAAGGGACTGAGAGCAGCCATAACTGCTCCCTCCACCCGCCCTGTTGATCCCGCCCTGCCCAAGCCCTGCGCAGAGCCATTTGCTGGATCGCCTCAGGCAAAGGCACCTCCCCAGAGGACAGAAGTTTTCCACACAGCTGATTCTCACAGCCAGTCAGCCTGGTGGTCAAATCCCTCAGTATTAACTAAAAAAATCAAGGCTTAACTAGAACAAGACTGCGCACAAAGACCACAAGGGGGTGCACCAAGAAAGCATAAAAAATGCGGAGACAAAAAAACATGACAGAAATGGAGGATATGGAGCTAAAAAACGCAATTTTGAGGGCTTGCAATAAACTTGTGGAGAGCCTCACAAAAACTAATGAGACCCTCGATGCTACGATAAAGAAACTAGAAATTAAGCATACACGGACTGAAATAAAGAATATTATACCCAATAGCAGATCAGAGGAGCGCAAGAATCAAGCCAAAGATTTGAAATTCGAAGAAGCAAAAAACACCCAACCGGAAAAGCAAAATGAAAAAAGAATCCGAAAATATGAAGATAGTGTAAGGAGCCTCTGGGACAGCTTCAAGCGCACTAATGTCAGAATTATTGGGGTGCCAGAAGATGAGAGACAGCAAGATATTGAAAACCTATTTGAAGAAATAATGGCAGAAAACTTCCCCCACCTGGTGAAAGAAATGGACTTACAGGTCCAAGAAGCGCAGAGAACCCCAAACAAAAGGAATCCAAAGAGGACCACACCAAGACACATCATCATTAAAATGCCAAGAGCAAAAGACAAAGAGAGAATCTTAAAAGCAGCAAGAGAAAGAGACTCAATTACCTACAAGGGAATACCCATATGACTGTCAGCTGATTTCTCAACAGAAACTTTGCAGGCCAGAAGGGAATGGCAAGAAATATTCAAAGTGCTGAATACCAAGAACCTACAACCAAGAGTACTTTATCCAGCAAAGCTATCATTCAGAATTGAAGGTCAGATAAAGAGCTTCACAGATAAGGAAAAGCTAAAGGAGCTCATCACCACTAAACCAGTATTATACGAAATGCTGAAAGGTATCCTTTAAGAAGAGGAAGAAGAAAAAAGTAAAGATACAAATTGTGAACAACAAACATGCATCTATCAACAAGTGAATCTAAGAATCAAGTGAATAAATAATCTGATGTACAGAATGAACTGGTGATTATAATGAATCAGGGACATAGAAAGGGAATGGACAGACTATTCTTGGGGGGGGGAAAGGGGAATGGGAGATGCGGGAAGAGACTGGACAAAAATCGTGCACCTATGGATGAGGACAGTGGGTGAGGAGTGAGGGCGGAGGGTGGGGCGGGAACTGGGAGGAGGGGAGTTATGGGGGGGAAAAAAAAAGAGGAACAAATGTAATCTGAACAATAAAGATTTAATTAAAAAAAAAATAAAGAGTAGGTTAACAGCATCAAGTCTCAACTTGAAAGGAGAAAATGTCATTAGGAATTATAATAATGTAAGAAAAGTAACAAAATGCTAAAACTTTCCGACTATGTTAACCTGATACTAACAGTTATATCTAAAGTTAAAAAAAAAAGACTTTTTAGCATTCCAAATATCAAATATGTGCCTACAATGTGAGTTAGAAAGTATTTTCATAAAATCTCACCCTCTTTTTTCTCCAAACTGGAAGCACCCTCTGTTCCACTTGAACTAACCACTGAAGACAGTTCAGAAAAGCTCCCGGATAAGTTATCGAGACTGCTGGCTGCAGAAAGACTTGATGGGCTGGATGGACCCGAAGACAGAGCATCTGCAGAGACTCCAGGGCTTCTCATGCCATTGAGCACTTGAGGTTTATAACATGAAGGCAGCGCAGAAGGGGGCATGGCTGCTGTCAGGAGAGCACTGACATCATCTGCCTAGGTTACAAGCCAGAGAGATGAAATCTGTTAAAATTCTACTACACCCAGTAGAATGCATTTTCAAATGACAAAACCCCTACATATTTGCTCTAGAACTGCTTTTCAATATAAAAATGATTATTTTAAAAAGTGAAGCAAATAAGTGATATTCAGCTATACTATTATTCAATATAAAACATAATTCTTCCAAGACACAGAATCAAAACTGTCAAATGTGGCAGAGCATTAAAAAAATCATAATTTTGATACTACAATGAAAAATATCAATTTAAAAAGGTAAGAGCTTTTAACACTTGCAATTACTGTGAGAGAAGTAATTTAACCTACATTAAACTTTAGCAAACATCATTATCGTTTGTTTACTGGAAAATATTCAATGATATTTGTTCCTCAATATTGAATGTTTTTTGGGGGTTAACAAAGATAATTATTTTAATAAAATTCGCTAGAATTGAAAAATATCCCCAAATTTACTGATAGGTTAATTTAATTAGTGACATTACCATTCTTTCATAATGCTCAATTAAGACACTAAGTAATTAACATTCAGCAAGAAGCAAATCAGTACTTGTTTTCATGGTTAGTGATTTATACTGACTACCCGATCCTTATCCTTTTGTTCCCCCCCCCCCCGAGTCTGAGGACTCTCATGGGACTCATGGTTTGTATATAACATTTAAAAATAATATTAGCACCATTTATTTTTGGGTGCTTTTTATGTACCTGGTACATGCCAAGGACTTTAAGTACATTAAATCTCATATTAACCAAATATATTTTATCCCCATTTATAGATGAGGTAACTGAGGCTTAGAGGTTAGGCAACTTGCAAGATTGTACAACTAACTAGAAGTGGTAGAGGTGGAATTCTAAGGCAGTCTGTTCAACTCTAAAGCCCACACATGTTCTCTAGAGCACTTTGTTTCATTGTCAATTATATTTGGTGGACTGATAAACGAGTGGATTGAACAAGAAAAGTTGACTTTTAAGGAAGTTTGGAATGGGAAAGACATTTCCCTGAAAAGAAAGTTGCAAATATGGTTGGGCTGTCAACCTGAGAAAAATCTATTTAACCTCCAATGTATTTCAACTAAATTAGCTTTTCAATATAACTTGTAACAATGGAATCTCTCTCAGTGAAAGCAGTCTGCAGAAGAGACTTCCCTTCCTACCTCAATAATTTCTTCTCCTTTCCCTCACTGCTCTGGTCAATATCCCCAGTGGTGGAGGCAAGACAGGTACCTGTGTTACAGTGGTCAAAGCAGAGGTAGAGGCTAGTATGGAGACTCCTACAGGAGTTCCCTCAGGAGAGGAAGAAAAGACTTCCACAGAAAAATGGAGAAACAAGCTTGTTTCGTGAACAGCTCTACTGGGGAAGAAATATGAACTTTGGGATGAGGTTGTGTGGGAGGGAATCTAGAAGCAGGTTTTGTGGCTGCACCTGAGGGCAATGCTCCCAGCTAGGGAAATTCCTCAAGGCTCATGTCCTGTATTATCCTGCACCTGTATGCACTGCCAGTATTCAATGGGAGCTTGTGCCTATTTTGGTTCCCAACTAATATAAGTAGTTATACTTTATACTTCTTTTTTCCATTTCCCAAAGTACTTAAAACACAATAACTAATAATTCTATTATTTAGTTATTATATTTTAATACCAAAAATGTTCTACAATTAAATTGGGCTAAAAAACAGATTTTACACATTCACCATGAAGACATTTTATATATACCAAGTGAATTTTGAAAAGCGAGAAAAGCACTGAGATTTTTCAAAGAGCCCATCACTTACTGAAACTAAATCTAAAGGTGTTTGTCCTTCCTGATTTTTAAGAGTAGGATCAGCTCCATGGGCCAACAATAAAGCACAAAGCTGTGTTCGTCCCTTTTGGGCTGCTTCATGCAAAGGTGTGAAAGCCCATTTATCCGTGGCATTGACACATGCATTATACTTTATTAGTAAAGCTGCTACATCTACGTGCTGTAAAAGAAAATATTCCTGTTACAGTCTGAAATTTTATTACACTTTAGTTCCTAAAAAGTAACTAGCCCTATATACCTATTTTTCCATGTATTCATACTTAACCTGGAAATGAAAAACTGTTTCTTCCCAACATCACAATGTATAGGTAGTTAATTAAAAATTACAGTAGATATTTAAATTACTTGAGAAATTATCTAGAAAACATGAAGAATTTGACAAAGAAGTGAACTAACTAATATGACTTTAATAATTTCTCAATTATTCAGATGTTATAACTGCTGAACAATGATTTATAAATAAGCAGCCTTCCTCAATTATTCAAATTATACTACTGGAGATTGTCAATACTGGTGGCAACATTTAGGGTTATAAAAAGTCAGGAATAATGCATCTGAACTACAGATTCCTATGAATCCCAATGAGTTTCCTAGGCACCAACAAATAAATCAACAGCTTAGTGAAAGTAAAAGATTGGTGGTAAGATAGTAAAATGAATGACAAATGTGCTGCACATCTCACAGCAGGCTTACAATAGATTCAGAATTGAAACTTGGAAGTTATTTAACCTCTTTAGCCCTCATATTTACTTCTCTATAAAATGAGAAAGTCAAGCTAAATTCCCATTAAACTGTAATACTGATTTTCACTTTGAAAATCTCAAAGGATTTTAAAGGTAACATGGAAGAACTTACCCCATAAGATGCTGCATTATGTAAAGGAATAAGTCCTCCTTTGTCTTGGGCATTCACATCAGCTCCATGTTGCAACAAATACTCTGCAACTTCTAAATTATTATAGCCAGCTGATTTAGAAAAGAAGTAAAATTACTTTTAATTGTTAGTATAAAAAGTTACATACAATTATAGAAATATGAAACTCCCCTTTGGAGTCTATTAAAAAATTTATCTTTGAAATAAAATCTGCCCACTGGCCTCAAGTTGGAAGCTCTCAGGGATGATATTCATTTTAGGAAATCTGACTGATATGACTGTATCTTTTAAAACCTTCTTCCCAAAGTCCCTGCCTTCATGTTGTTATATACAACTTCCAGAATTCAGATACATGGTCTCCAAGGCTGCGAGTTAGAGGCATTCAATCATATAAAAGCTAAGTTAGGACCTCAATGCAGAGCAGGAGACAGCACCCAGCATGGGTCTTAGGGCACCGATTTCCCAGAAGGCCACAGGAACATGCTTTTATCTCTACAAGTCTGGCAGCAGAACCTATGTGTTGCTAAACCCATGAAGTGAAACAATATTTTATAAATATGCCATAATCTGTCATCTTTGAAACTGTCAGCTATCTTAATACATACTCTTACGGTATAGTCCGACACATACTCACAGGCTGAAAGCAAATCTGGAAGTTAACTTTGCCAAAATAAAACCAGATATGACTTGAAACTTTAAAATAGTTGAAAATATTTTATCTACATTTAATTTTTATTGTAGTTTTTATCCTTTTGCTGAAGGATCTAAGGCAAAACAATTTTAGTAAAATCAAGCAAAGAAAGACAAACCTACAAAACTATTATAAGCTAAGTGTTGCACTGAATGTACAAGCCCTTCTAGGTCTCAAGGTATAACACTGCCCAGGTGGGCAAAAATATTCTGTGCATACAACGTATTTGCCACTTACAAAAACAACGTAATTAAATAGTGATGTTAATGTTCTAGATAAGCTTCCATAAAAATTTAAAAAGCTAATATAAATAAATATGCACAGCACAATTCAAATCAGAGGTTGGGTCACTCTTGTCTTATATGAACTAGAAACTCCTGATTGCCAGTAGAAGCAGAAAAGCTTTTTATCACCATGTGGCTTATCACTTCCAAAATTCTCGAAAAGACACAGATAGAGTAATACTTTTCCTCGGAGAGTGGGGTCCCAACTTACATGGGGCGAGAAGTTAAAAATCACATCTAATCAAAATTATCCCTTAAACACTAGGAACACACTCATACTGAGACTGAAATGAATAGATTTTTACTTTTTTCTTTTTTTAATACATGTTTTAGAGAAAGTTGTGTGAGTAATATAGGCGTAGGACACAAATCCACTGAAGTATTAGCTGTGGCTCAGTGATTTTAAAGGCCCATTCTCTAGCACCTTCAATGTAGCTGAAAAAGCTGTACTGAAACCACAATGCTGTATACCTGCACTAAAAACAAGGTGCACGGTGCCAATTTTGAGTGAAAATTTAGAACATATTATGTATTCAAGTGTGTCCTCCAAAATTCCTATATTGAAGCTCTAAGCACCAGTATACCTTAGAATGTGACCATCCTAGCAGACTGGTTTCTTATAAAAGGAGAGTGGGACCGATAGAGTGAGAGAGACGGGGATGTGTTCACAACAAAGAAAGGCTATGTGAGGACACAGCAAGAAGGTGGCCCTCTGCTAGGCAAGGAGAGGGGCCTCAGGAGAATCCAATCCTTAAAATCTTGATCTCCAGAACTGTGAGGAAATAAATTTCTGTTGTTTAAGCCACCAATCTGTAGTATTTTATAATTAATATAAGAAATAACTTTGGTGAGAGGTTTATGTAACTTCTGAAAGTCTTTTAAGATTTATTTTTCTGCTTGTGCTTAACAGCTATCATCAGAAGAATGAAAAGCTTTAGCTTCTCATGAGGAAAGCTGGGTCAAGCAGGCATATTTTTCAAGTTTCTGTACCTAAAACTCACTCACCAAAGATGATTCAAATATGGTGACCTGAAATAAAGGTTCCAAAGCACACATGGTGACTGGCAGAGCCTCTTTCAACTACTACTACTAGATTGACCATGACGTATAGTTGCCCTATACCAGTGATGGCAAACCTTTTGAGCTCGGCGTGTCAGCATTTTGAAAAACCCTAACTTAACTCTGGTGCCGTGTCACATATAGAAATTTTTTTATATTTGCAACCATAGTAAAACAAAGACTTATATTTTTGATATTTATCTATTTAAATGCCATTTAACAAAGAAAAATCAACCAAAAAAATGAGTTTGCGTGTCACCTCTGACACGCGTGTCATAGGTTCACCATCACTGCCCTATACAAATACACTAGAGCCGTGGTCGGCAAACTGCGGCTAGCGAGCCACATGCGGCTCTTTGGCCCCTTGAGTGTGGCTCTTCCTAAGCCTTAGGAGTACCCTAATTAAGTTAATAACAATGTACCTACCTATATAGTTTAAGTTTAAAAATTTGGCTGTCAAAAGAAATTTCAATCGTTGTACTGTTGACTAACAAGTTTGCTGACCACTGCACTAGAGTGTAACAGTGATATTAGGAGATTCTGATTTAAACCCTTTACATTTATTTGTAGAAGATATTTTACTCAGATAAAATGAGTCTTAGGTTTCACCAGCCTAAATCTGTGAAACTCCATTCCCTTACCTGCTAAATGTAAAGGTGTTGAATGTCGGCCTTGGGTATCACGGCAATTGACATTATCAGGAGAAGACAACTTCTTCACTCTGGCTAAACAGCCCTTCTTGGCAGCATCTAACAAAGCTGAGTCTCCCCTCAGTAGATCTTGGATATCAGTGTCTCCATCTTTAACAAGATCCAAAGGAGTATTGCCATCCCTGTTCTTCTTTGTAGGATCTGCACCATGCTGGGTATGTGAAAAAAGAACAAAGAGGAACTGACTTAGGTTTGTCCTTGGTCAATAAGAAAACAGTCAATGTAACTATACTAAAGAAAACTATTGCCTACTGAGACTCTACCTTAAAGGTTAACATGATTGTTATCAATGTTTAATTTAATATACAGAAAATTATAATAAAAAGAATATAGAGGAAGTTAAAATATACTGGGGTTTTATAATGCAACACTAGTCAAAATTTTAAACTACTTTAAAATAAATTAATTTTCAAATATACCATTTTTAGTTTCCACAAACATTGAAATAAATTTAACTTTACTCTTGTTTTTACTGTAAAATATGTACACTGGTACCTGTATTGAATCAGCACTATCAATTTGATTAGATTCAAATAAATCTGGCTTAGAAACAAGGAAGCATGGAACAGAGTGCAGACTCTCAGAGGGAAGGTGCGGGGGGGGGGGGGGGGGGAGAGGGAAGGTGGGAAGCAGAAAAGGTGGGGGGAGGGAGGTAACCAACAAAAGACCTTGTATGCATATATGCATGGCCCATGGACACAGACAATGGGGTGGTGAGGGCCAGGGGGGTAGGGGCGGGCTGGAAGGGGTCAATGGGGGGAAAAAGAGGACATATGTAATACTTTCAACAATAAAGAATTAAGTAAATAAATAAATCTGGCTTATTAATTATATAATGCATCAACTATTTTGAAGTACTAAGAAAAAAACATAATCAGAAAACTATTAATATAACAATAGTTGACTTTATACAATAATAAATCTACTCAACACTAGGAAGACAAAAAATCCAATTAAAAAATGGGCAAAAGACCTGAATAGATACTTATCCAAAAAGGACATACAGATGGCCAATAGACATATGAAAAAATGCTCAACATCACATTCATCAGAGAGATGCAAATTAAAACTACAATGAGGTATCACCTCACACCTGTTAGAATGGCTACTATCGATAAATCAACAAAGAACAAGTGCTGGTGAGGAAGGTTGTAGAGAAAAAGGAACCCTAATGCAATGTTGATGCAGCCACTGTGGAAAACAGTATGGAGTTTCCTCAAAAAATTAAAAATGGAACTGCCTTTTGACTCAGTGATCCCACTCCTAGGAATATATCCCAACACTCCCAAAACACCAATCAGAAAGAATATATGGCCGAGGCCGGTTTGGCTCAGTGGATAGAGCGTCGGCCTGCAGACTGAAAGGTCCCAGGTTTGATTCCGGTCAAGGGCATGTACCTTGGTTGCGGGCACATCCCCAGTGGGAGATGTGCAGGAGGCAGCTGATTGATGTTTCTCTCTCACCGATATTTCTAACTCTCTGTCTCTCTCCCTTCCTCTCTGTGAAAATTCAATAAAATATATTAAAAAAAAAAGAATATATGCACCCCTATGTTCATAGCAGTGTTTATAATAGCCAAGATCTGGAAATAGCCCAGATCAATAAAATAGAACCAGAAGCATGGAAACATGGAACAGACTGACAAGTGCCCATCAGCAGATGAGTGGATAAAAAAGCTGTGGTACATTTACACAATGGAATACTACACGGCTGTAAAAAAGAAAACTCTTGCTCTGGCTGGTGTGGCTTAAGAGTTAGAGCATTGGCCTACACACCAAAGGGTCTTGGGTTTGATTCCCAGTCAAGAGCATGTAACTGGGCTGCAGGTTCTAATCAGTGTATCTCTCTCATATCTATGTTTCTCTCTCTCTCTTTCTGTCCCTCCCTCCCTCCATCCCTTCTACACTCTCTAAAAAGCAATGAAAAAAATATCCTCAGGTGAGGATTTAAAAAAACCCCTCAAAAAACCTCATCCTTTACGACAGCATACTAGATGGATCTGGACATGTTAAGTGAAATAAGCCAGTCAGAAAACACAAAAAACATAATCTCACCAATATGTGGAATCTAATGAGCAAAATAAATTGATAAACAAATTAGAACCAGAAGCATGGTTACATGGAACAGACCGACAAATGTCAGAGAGGAGGGGGATGGAGAGGACTGGATAAAGAAGGTAAAGGGATAAGCTAAAGAACATATATGTATAGCTCATGGACACAGACAATAGGGTAGTGAGAGCCAAGGGAGGGAAAGGTGGGAGCTGGGTGAAGGTGGGCAAAGGGGGGGCAAATGGAGAACTGCAGTATTATCAACAATAAAAAAATTTAAATAAATAAAATAAAGTAATAAATCTATGTGTGGTAAACATACTCATATTAAAATAATGTTCCTGGCATTTATTCTGATATCTAGGTAGAGAGTTAGATACTGCTTCCTATTCCTTTATTAGTTTAAATTAATATTAGAATTATTAGAAATATTAAACATTTTCTATGTAATACACCCTGTCAACAGTAAGTGCTTAAATATACCTGGAGCAGGAGTTTGCAAATTTCATATTTTCCTTTTGCTGCAGCTTCATGTAAAGGTGTAAATTTCCATAAATCGGCTACGTTAACTACTGCTCCATGCTTAACAAGAAGTTCTGCAACTTCATAATGTCCGTAAGAACATGCATTGTGCAAAGGTACAAGGCCTCTGAAAAAAAAAAGGTAAGCCATGCAACACAAAGATGTTTTAATTTAAATAATTACATATAGCCGATAAATTTCTTGAACTGTAAAAGAGATTATGCTGATTATACAGAACCTAAATATTTAATGAAAGCATAGATGGAATTATTTTGGGGGGCAAGGGAGGAATAGTTAAAATTGCAGAGAATATATTAAATACCTAGAATTGTATATTTTTAAAGAAAAATAATTTTAAAACAAACTGGAAGAATTTAAATTATTACCAAAGCAAATTAAAACATTTTTTAAATCAACCACACTATTGTAATCTCCTTGGTCATTACTAGTATAAAATACTAGAGGCCTGGTGCACAGATTGGTACACGGTGGGGTCCCTCGGCCTGGCCTGCGCCCTCTCGTAATCCAGGACCCCTTGGGGGATGTCAGACTGCCAGTTTCGGCCTGGTCCCCGTAGGCCAGGGCAAGGAACCCCACCAGTGCACGAATCTGTGCACTGGGCCTCTAGTATGCATATAAGATTTTTGGTTAATCTCTTCCCACCCTCCCCTCGCTCCTCTTCCCTCTGAGATTCATCAGTCTGTTCCATGTTTCCATGCCTGTGCATCTGCCCCCTGGTGGTCAGTTTATGTCATAGCTACCAGTCGAAAGGTCGCTTAGGCTTTTATATATATAAATAAGGCATTATGCAAATAAGCCTGTATGTAAATGCTAACCATCATAAAATCTTAACTAAAATGAAGAAGCCATATTTAAGCTAATGTTAGGGAATAGATTTCCCTGAAAATAAAACAACTACTAACTATCATAAAAATATTTTCAGATTTTCCTAAAAAGGTCTGATAAAAGAAAGAGACCATGGCAATGGCTGGTACTTGCCCTTTGTCTTTAGCATGCACATCAGCTCCATGTTGCAGCAGATACTCCACCACAGACACCCTGTTATAGCCAGCTGCAAAATGGAGTGGTGTAGACTGACGCCCTTCGATGTCTCTGCAATTCACACTCTGAACAGTACACAATTTCTGTAGGATGGAACACAGCATACATACAATGCAACTTATTCTGGTTTCTTATTTTCATTCATTTAGTAGAAATTTCAAATGTCTGAGTTATTTTCTTGCCTCATCAAATTAGCATCCTCAGAAACTATTGCTTTTTATTCTTATTTCATCTTGTCATTTATTGAGAATCCCTCTGTTCCTCCCATCTCTAGTACCTGTATTATCTTTTGCTAAGACTAGTAGGTAAATTTTACCATGATCACAATTACTACTTACATAAAGGTAATCTAAGTATCAATTATCAGCAATTGTAATTTGCATTTTTGGCAAATATATGTAGAGGCATACTGCATCATCAAAGAATCAGTATCACCCCAGGCTTATTAACACTTGGAGTGGGGGAAACGAGTTAAGTCGGCTCGCGTGAATTGCGCGTACTCCGCGGGAGCCGTCTTTAACTCGGTTCATATAGATTTGCGGTGGAGTGCGGGAAACGTGTAAACTCGGGCCGATTGTAACTGCGTATTACCAAATATTTGTTTGTAATCCACCCTTTTGGTGGATGGAACAAAACCAAAAGACAGAGCCATCTTATATTTTGGCGGGAAATTCACCCCACACCGGAGTGTTAAAAACTCAGAATCTCAGACCCCATCTATTGAGTCAGAACTAGCATTTTAATAGGATCCCTAGGTGATTTGTAAGCACATTAAAGTTTGAGGATTACTGCTCTAGATCAATGATTCTCAAATTTTCATGTTCATTGGTTCTCACCTCCAGATTTTCTAACTCAGTGTGCTGGCTGGGACCTGAGAATTTGCCTTTCTAACAAGTTTCTAGGTAGTGCTGATGCTGGTAGCCAAGAAATTACATTGGTAGAAAATTAATGAACTACATGGAATGAACTAACTATAGAATGTTATTGTTTCTTAACTGGGAGAATTAAGAAAACAGTCAATCAAATAATTTTTTTGTGTTCTTTGGTTTAGGTAACAAAGCCTAGTGAGAAAAGGCCATAAGAGTCACATTCAAAACACTCAAGAGTAGCGTTGGTGGTATAGTGGTGAGCATAGCTGCCTTCTAAAACACTCAAGAGTATTTTGCATGAAAAGTATAAACATTTGGAGAATAAAAGCAACACCAATAATAAATCACAGTGCTCAAAAAAGGTCAAATGAAGCTACTGGTTTGGCTCACTGGATAGAATGTCGGCCTGTGGACTGAAGGGTCCCAGGTTCGATTCCGGCCAAGGGCACATGCGCGGGTTGTGGGCTCGATCCCCAGTATGGGATGTGCAGGAGGCAGTCCATCAGTGATTCTCTCTCATCATTGATGTTTCTATCTTTCTCTCCCTCTCCCTTC